CGGCAGCCTCGTGCCGGACGTCATCGATGCGGCGGCGTTTCAGTAAATGCCGGCCGATGAACGGAGAGGCAGCTGATCGGCGGTACGGACTGGGGTCGGGTCGGGAACCGGATAGTGCGGGCCGGATTTCGTGGAATGTGTTTAAAGAAATGAGAGAAGAGTGCGATTAGTGAGGAAAGCAAGAGGACAGATAAATAGTTAAATACTGGAGATGGTGTATAATTAGGGTCTCGGGGAAGGGTTAATCACGAGAATGCCACTGAAAGGTTGAGTTTTGTATGAATTTGCTAATTTTATTATTATTATTATTTTTTTTTTGTAAAATTATTATTTCAAAAAAATGTTGAGAATATCTTACTTTATACTTTTTCATTTTAAATGTGTAAACGAGATAGTCGATTGAAATGAGTCGATAAATGAGTTTGAGTTTGTTTATGAATATTAACGAGTTAATTTTGAGCTGAATTGAAACTTAACGAGCTAAGTTATATAAAATTATATAAAAATCTATATTTTGTATCGATATGAGTTGATGTTCTTTTTTATTAGTTCGAACTGGAAATTCTTATTTTGGTTTTTTATTTTAGTGGATAGATCCATAGACTAGACGAGTCATTGTTGAGTATCTAATATTCAATCTTGTACTCGATAACTTAACGAGCCGCCATATCATCTCGAATTCGACTCATTTTTCAATATTAGTAAGCTAAACTTGCCCCGAACAAACAACTTCACGATCGAATTATAAAAAAATTACATAAAAATTTACAAAAAAAATCTAAGGAGTTAATAATAAAATAAAATTTGATATAAAAATGAAAAGAAGAGTAGATTTTTTGTACAGGCCCTGGAAAAGCGGGTCTTGCACGTGTTTAGTCTTTTGAAGGTGGGGACAGGTGTTGGGATAGTTGCTAGGAAAGGAGTATGAAACATGCGACATGGGCCTTGAGCTTTTTGGATTAAACTAATAATACAAATTTGCCTTTATTTAAATAAAAAATAATATATATTTTTTTTTTTCGGTACAAAGAAGGAGGCTATCGCCTTATACTACGATATTTCGAGGATGGGCAATCCCGAGAACATCATGATGGAGCCACGGTTTCACCCCCGTGGAAGGGTCATCAAGTATATGGAGACCGCCCGACATTGTCGATGCTAGAGATGCAAGATAATCTACTGCAAAATTTACCTCACGGTGGATATGACGGATCTCCACATTCCACTCTTTCCTTAAGAGCTCCTTGATACCCATAATAATGCTGCTATGAATACC